TAAAAAGTTTATAAAAAATAAATAAAAATAGAATATAAAAAAAATTGGAAAAAATAAAAAACATTTTCGGTATCAGTATCGGGCTGACATTTTTTTAAAATTTCGGTTTCGGTTTTAAAATTTCCATTTCGGTGCACCTCTAATTCTCAGTGTGGATCACGGCATTGTTATGACTCAGGATGTATAGGTAACAGGATTCTGTGCAAAGGAATGTGCAAGATAAAGGCCCCACAAAGAAATTCCTTTACAGATGCTTCTTTCATACAAAACGTCTTCCAAAATTATCTTACTTTAACTTTACTGCTCAGACGACTTACCTCTTCCCGGCTGAGCTGTAAATACTCAAACATTTGGAATGGATTTCTCCGGCAAACAAGCTTGAATTTTTCCTAAGAATGTGAACATATGGTAAGGTTAATACAAAGAAAATAGAACACCTCTTCAACCTTTTATTCAGTCTAGAATACGAGCTTTCAACCTCAACTGGAAGGCAACAAAATTATATTTATTAAAAACATGAGAGAAAAAGTTGTGGGTTTGTCCCAGCAAATGATCAGATTGCAGGCAAGTTTACAAAAGAAAGGTGACCACAGACGCTCCCACTCTACCACAAGCTTAGGGCCTGTGTCAATGGACTTTGGGTTCGTGTTGATGGTAATTCAGTGTGACTTTATTTGAATTCCACTTGAAAAGTCACTTTGAGAAGATTCTGAGAACATTCATACAGTAATTTGTTGACAGGTGCATTTGACCTGCATTTGTTGTGAACAAAAGCCTGTCGATGGAGGCCCTTAGTCATACACAGTACCAGCTTCTTCTCCAGCAATACGAGAGCAGCCGGAGAAATGACAGCCTGAAACCGCAAGTGTCAAAGTCCTTGTCGCTTCCAGTTTCCGTATCTGGAAAGGAGATCAGCTAATGGATGTGTGCTGTGTCCAGCCGCAGACACCCAGTCCAGATGCTGATCTCAATCTGGATGTTGGTAATAACCACTTCAGGACCAGGATGTATATATACACTAAACAGGCAGTCCTAAGGAGGTTATAGTGTATTTTTAATTTTGCAGCCAAATTGGGATAATACTTATTTCATTTGTTACTCCCACTTATGCAGGATCTTGCTGGCAGAAAAACCCAACCTAAAAAATTTGCTTCTTATGCATGTACGAAAGGGGTTGAAAAATTAATATGTAATTCAGGAGCCAGTGTGTCCAGTCCAGGAGACAGCAGGATGACAACAACTAGAGAAAAATGTAAAAATTAGGAGCTAGCTGGGATTTTTTTAGCCGCGGTATAATTTCTAATGGTCTGGGCGCTGTTTTTTAGACGCGGTAGAATTTCTAATGGTCTGGGCGCTGTTTTTTAGCCGCGGTAGAATTTTGACCAGCTGGGATTTTTAATGAGTATAGGCTACCTAGCACATAGGATTTCCAGCACTTGAGGCGTATGTTTGTAAACTAATTCTATTGGCTAGAATATTCATTTATTTTAGTCACTAGAATGAATTTACATCCGTATACACGTTTACACGCACATATATTTTTCCAGTAAGGTCCAAACGCAGGTTTGGGGGCATTTTATTTTTATGCCCGGTAATGTGGCTATAAAATATGGATCTAAACCACAATGTGCATAGACACAATGGCTAAAAGCATGAAAGAAATGGCTCTAAGGGCCCACTCACACCATATCCAGTGTGCTCCAGTGTAGTTCGTGCCAGGAACGCACTGCATCGCATAGATCAAGCCGGGCAGCGTTCTGGGGCGGGAGTGGGCATGTCAATGGCATTGCAGACACGTCCCCGCTCGCAGTGCGATCGCCTGCACAGCAACACCCTGTGTTCCAGTGCAGTGCGATCTGACAAAATGCCGCACACACTATTTTTTCAGATTGCACTGCACTGGAACAGAGGGCATTCCTGTACCTTGTGTTCCGGTGCGGGTGATTGCACTGTGGGCGGGGGGGGGGGCGTGTCTGCCGTGCCATTTACATGAATGGCACCGACACGCCTCCTCTTGCCCCAGAATGCTGCCTGGCTTGATTTATGCGATCCAGTGCGTTCCGGACGCAAACACTGGATATGGTGCGACTGAGCCCTAAAAGCGCCATTTTTCCTGCCCCTGTGCTTGAGCCATAAAGGAATTTGTCTCACCAGGTCATTGACTTAGGGGACTATTACAACTGTTGCTTTAATATACTGCATAATATTTAAGATCTGTCTAGTGTTTGTAGCCAGCATTGGGTATAGTGATTGGAAAACAGTCTTACATTTTTGTCCTCCTGCACATCTTCATCCTTTAAACCAACGTTGTCTTGCTCCTCTTCCACCAAGACATATTCATGTTCTTCCCTTTCGATTACACTTTTCTCCGCAGCATTATTGCGAGCAGTCTGCTTTTCTGGCTTACAACCACAATGTACAATCAGGTCATCATGTCTATGACAATGCATCTTCTCCAGAACTTCTCTATCTGGTACAATGCACGGTTCCTGGGTCTCCAGCTCCTCCGAACCATACTTTGCTAAAGGATCAAAAACGGGGTTTCCTTCCAAAACCTCAGTGCTGTCGTCTGCGGGAAATGATGAATCTGTAGAACTAAGTTCTTTTTGAGCTTTGCAGTCCACAGAATCCAGCGTGTCATCCTTATCCTCTGGAAAATCAAAAGGGGAGCAATAATCTCCAAGAATCTTGTCAGTAGAACTTCTGTCCATTCCTTGCCCTTCCAAAAGGCTTCTGGCCCACTCCACATGAAGCTGGTATCTAGAAATAGTTTACAACTGGTAAAGCTGAATTCCAGACAAACAGCTATTGCAAAGATGAAATACATACAAGATCCCCTTCTTAATAGAGGACAAGACCCTGCTAGCTTTGTTTACCGCAGCTTGGCACTGAAAGCTACCTTTCAGTTTGTTATCTACAATGACCCCCAAATCTTTTTCTATTTCTGACTTCCCTAGCGGCATACCCATGATTGTATAGCCCATTTGTTTATTTTTATGTCCAAAGTACATCACTTTGCATTTATCGACATTAAACCTCATCTGCCATAGTATTGCCCACTCCCCTATTTTATCCAGGTCCTCCTGCAATGTTATATTGTGACGATCCGTTTCTAGTACCCTCCCTATTTTTGTATCGTCTGCAAACACGGAAACATGGCTATTTATTCCCTCCCTCAAGTTCTTTTAGCTACCGAAGGATTTATATTTCTGTCCATCCAGCTCTGAGATTAACTCAGCTCTGGCACACAGCACAGCTCTGTCTGGCAAGGCAGAGGAACCTATTCTTTTGCTGCTGCAGTTGAAGAGCTCCAGGAATTTAGAAAAACGTACCCTTGTAGTGGGGCTACCCCTCCACTGCAAGGGTCAAGTGCTCATTTTGTCTAGTGGGCAGAAATAAAGTAGATATACTCACCTGATCCTCAGTCCTGCTGACTGCTGGACCAGTCCCTGCAGCCTCTTCTCCCCTGGGCTCTGGCAGCCTAAGGAGCGATAACGTCATCATGTCTAATGCAGGTCCCTTGACTCGCATTAGGGACAGTCCACAGCCGGAAAATAGGGGGAGAGCACTTAAAGTGGACCTCTACCCATATCTTTAAAATAACAAACGCACCTTAAGAAATGTTTAGTAATGACAATCTACAAACACATACTTCTGGATAATTGCCGGCTTTGTATTCTTTGCATACCATATTTCTTCTGGCAGTGGCCATGTCTACTAAGGGCAGATTACTAGCTTTCCTGAACATCTGGGACATGTGACTGGACATGTGACCATGCACATCATCTCAGGGGAGATAAATGCCTTTCCAGATGAGATTTCTCTGCTGATGACAAGGCAATCCCAGTGTGCATTGCTTTGGCAAACTGAAGTCATTTTGCCCTTTCAAAGCAGGAAGTGAATGCTCTGCAAGTGTAAGTATTTCACAATCCCAGCATTTTACACCTGACATGTCTATGTTATTATTATTCATCATACATAGAGGGATGCATTGGTAGAATTTGATTTTTGAGTGTAAAGTTCCGCGTTAACCCTTGCAGCGCAAGGGTAGCCCCACTGCAAGAGTGAATTTTTAATTTCCGGAGTTCTTCTTTAAGTAACACTTACAGCTCCCTCTCCATGTCTGTGACTGGAAAGTGAAAGGAACAGCAGTAGATAAATGAACTCATCTTTCTGACCTTCCCTCCTGTCAGTACATACGCACAAATGATTGGCTCTTTGCACTGCGTCTCTCTGTACAGGGGATTTCAGAGGCTGATATTAAGTCAAATGCAGGTACTTCTGCTATACGATTGTTCCAAAGACAACAAAGCAAAGGTTCCTAATTCTGGATCTCTGTTGTTCACCAATAAATATCCCACATGGCAAATGTACTAAATTGTTCAGTGGTGTCTTAAGAGTTTCACAATGTTCGTACTGTACATAACCATAGATTTAAAAAGGGTGAAGGCATTACCTAATGCAGAATTCTTTTCCACTGGCTCATACATGGATCAGGTATGTTATTTGGGTATAGCTTTCAATAGTAACCTTTACAAAGAGATACCACAAGCCTCACAGTTATAAGATGATTGATGGTACTTACTTTTTTGATGAAATGATTGGTAGTTTCCTTTTGGAAGCTGCAAAATAATGATATGCATTTAGTATTTTAGAATGCTTCCTGGATCTAGTGATCTAAGTCAGTACGGTAGTATGTATAAAACGCGGATCGCACAGCATTACTGCCACTTGATGAAATGCATACCAATTTCCTCTGCTCCTCAGCTCCATCCAATGGCAGTAATGCTATACACCGGGCGGAAGATTTATAGAACAGCCCCTTACAGAATCTTTAGCAATAATGACATGCAGGTTTTTTTTCCAAGCGATACACGAAATGCAATATTCCATACCATACAAACAGAATTCATTTCTCAGCCATCTACTTTAGAAATACTGATTGCCAGTTATATTTTTTGTACATCAACATTGCTTTTTGCTCTACTTTAGGCCACTTTCACACGGGCTGATCAGGAGCGGAGCTGTGCACGGCTGATTGGAGCAGTACAGATCGGATGTCACAACGGTGTCCCTTTAGTTTTTTCCTCCATCGCACTAAAACTGCCTGACCCTACCTTAGTCTATGGGGAGTCAGCTGTAAAAAGACACGTCAGCGACAGTAGCTTTGTAGATGGTACAGTATGGCGGAGAGGTCCAGCATTGTACCCTCACTCAAAGGACTAAAGTTGTGTACCTCTACTACTGTGATATGTTTCATGCACCATGTGTTGAATGTGTTTGACCTGATTGCCACAGGTATCTATTCATATTGTAACATGTCTGTGACTGTTTTCTCTGTTAAACTCAATAAATATTCATTTGAGAAAAAAAGACACGTCAGCTTACATCACATTACCCCCAAACCAGCACAATCAGGTCCGGTGAAACAAAACATTTTTCCGTTTGCTTTCTAGACCTGGTCGGAGTCAGAGGTATCCGAGTGTAAAAAGATGCCTGTCACGTTTAGACCCAGCTGCCCATAGAATAGAATTAGGAATCCGATGGGGTCCGCCTGAAAAACTGACAGGTGGACGCGATCGGACCAACCGTGTGGCAGGGGCCTTATTGAAAAAGGCAATGTGATATTTCTGCTATGTGCTACACAAGACACAAAATCTTCACTGTCCTTTTCAGATGTCCCTCCAGTGCTGGTGCGGGTCTCCCACCCAGCGCTGACTCCTCTGTCCTCTTCTCTCATGTACCACGCTGTCTGTGCGGGCGCACGCTGCTCCAAAGACTTACCTTGTGTCTCTCCTCGTCTCCCGGCCGAACATCTGAACTGCGCACGCACCAAGATGCTTTGTGGACACCCGAGAAATTTTCAGACACAGGTAAGTATAAACCCTGGTAAAAAGTTTTGTTTTTTTTTGTAACCGTTTTGCATATATCTACTGCTTGATAGCAGTAGATATATGCAAAAACCGCTGAGTGTTTAATAACCCTTTACACCTTCGGGGTTTTTTTATTTTCTTCTTTATGGTGGCCCGACTTACTAAAAAAAATAAAAAAAATAAAAGAAAGTTCTTTTATCCATTATTTTTTTTTATTTCCTAGTTCTCAAGTGGTATCCACACCCCAACCCCCCCCTTCCCCATACGAGTGCCTCCATCAGCTGACAGACGTGCTATGAAGGCACCCATATGTGCACGCTCATGGCCGTGCCCACACCTAGCTGTATGCATCCATAGACGCACGCATCCATAGACAACCATACCTCCACCCTTGCAGTCATAACTTGACTGACAGCAGAAAGAGCTACTTTGCCCTCAGCACCCTCCACGCAACCAGGAAGTTCGGGGAAACCCGTGTATCTTCTCGGTCGCGGCAAAGGAGACGAGTGGCTACAGGTCAGCGTGGGGGGGACGGGGGTGTTAGGAAAGGGGTGGGTGTTTTTTGCCTTAATTCAGAGAATGCATTAAGGCAAAAAACACCCAAACTTGAATACTACTTTAATCCTTCAGTTTTTACAAAAGTTCAGAAGACCAAGTTGCATAGGTATTTTTAACCCTTTCGCTGCCAAGCCCTCCCGAACATTTTTCAAATCAGCTGGCCACGCCATTTTTGCAATTTTTCCAATTGATTTGATTTTCAACTGCTGCGTTGCTAGCGTTTGTAAAAGACCCCCCAAACCATATATTTTCTGAAAGCGCAGGCCCGGTAGAATAAAAAGATGGTGAAATTAAATTTGTAGGCCCTGCGATAATTGCGCAAATGTTTCTCAAATTAATATTAAACCGATAAAAATACACAATTCAATTGTTAAAACACACCAAAATCAGTATCCGTGCACAAAAAAACATTATTTTCTGACTAAATCTAAAAGATAAAACTGTATTGAGTTAATAAATAACAAATATTAGCACATTTGTAATTGCGCCTTTTTGCGAAAAGGTAAAAAAATGAAGGTACCTTGCCGACACAGTTCCCTGCCTGAAGCGCCTCCAGGCAGGGATGAGAGACTGCAGATGCCAGCGGGAGGCCGCAACGGTGCCGGGGGGAGGGGGGGGCCCGGTATTTTTGCTAATAGCTGTCATCAGCGGCTTGTGAGCCACTGATGACAGCTATTAATTTGAAGAGGACAGTCTGGGGAACAGTTCTGCTATAGGCTCATAGCTAAAGCGACCATGAGCTTATAGCAGAACTGTAAATGCCACCGACGTAAGGCATACTGAGCTGGCCAGCCGGGAACACTTTTGTTCTGCCGTATGCCTTACGGCTGTGGCAACGAAAGGGTTAAACTGCACTTTGTAGCTCTTTCATAGTTCTTGCTGCAGTTCGCTTACTGCTGGAATCTTAGCGCTAGCAGGAATATTGGTACTTTGATTGCTCATCCAGCACTACCAGCAGTAAAGAGACCTTCACAAAAACATAAGCTTTAATATAAAATATAAGAGGCCATTACACATTTCTGGTGGACAACATTACGGGTTTCTTATAAAGAAGAACTCCAGGAAACTTTATTAACCCTTGCAGTAGGGCTGCCCCCACACTGCAAGGGTTAAGTGCTCGTTTGTGTCACCGTCCGCAGCAGCGGCCTAAGGTCCTGTAAATCATCATGCCTATACACTGTGTATAGGTGTGAGGATGTTGAGGAAGATTCCAGTGCTGCAGGGAGGAGGATACAGCCAGGAGGGAGCGCTGTGACAGCTTGCCGGCTCTGAGATTATGATGAGAACAATTTTGGTATTTTAGCACCTAGACACAAACAAGCAGTTAACCCTTGCTGTGGAGGATTCACCCAATAAAAACATTTTTTGGAGTTCTTATTTAAATTGAGTTACAGTAACCCACCCCAACAATATATGTAATGCTGTGCATTGCTGATTATACTCACGAGCCAGGCCTTTCCACCGGCCCCTCAGCTCACCCTGTCCAATGTTATATTCAGGTCTACTTCTCGACAAAATCCCCTTCCCAAAATAGCCCTGCGGATAAAATAAAAGTACTTGAAACACAGACCAAATTGCATACATCTCTGCAACATCATATTCGCTTTGATCCGACTTTGTGAGTGCGATCTCACATTCCACAAACTCGGACAGAAGTGAAATTTCAGGACCGATCAACTGTTCCAGGGCAGATCGGTTCTCCTGCACATACCATCTGCGGTGCCGATCTGCCCTGGAACAGCTGAGAAAGCGTTAGAACTCTTCACCTTTTGCTGGTCACATATTCCACCGCTGAAAAACAGGGCGGGATTACGTTAAAATGTGTGACCACTCGACCGGTCCCTGCCTGAAGCGCCTCCAGGCAGGGATCTTTGATAGAATACCAGGGCACCGCACACCAGACCCATCTGGTATGAATGAGCCCTAACACAGCTCCTGAACAGCTATCCAAAGGCTATAACAAACTAACAATACAGAGCAAAAACGCAAACAAAAAACTAATAAACATATATAAAATTAAAAAAAACTCAAAAAAGCCTTCAATAAATTATTTAGCATCACACAAAGTGCAAAAATATATATCTGCAAAAATATATATGTGCAAGAAACCAAAAAGTTATTTTTCTATGATGTCCACGATGTGCCAATTGTCTAAAAGTGCAAAAATTCCAAGAAGAGCTCCATTTGTGCTTCACCAGGCCCTTTAGGTAACAAACTCATCCAATGTTGTGTGGCCCCTTATTTAAAATCATTGGACAAGCTGCATCTTCTGAAGAAAAAAAAAACAATTCTGGAATCCATCATGAGCAGTGTTGTGTAAAGTTGGCAGCCATCTATAGAGGTCTACGGGAACTAGACGGGAGTTGGCTGTACATGACCCACGCCCTGAACCATTTTCCGAGTGAACTTCATGTTTGTGGCTATGAAAGGAGATAATCAGTGAAGGAGGTAATCACAATGAGCCAGGGACAGCAATCCAGACCGACCAACTCTACCCACAGCAGGCTCACCCAGGGAAAGTAAATCAGGGATACAGAAGGGCCTACAAATATCTAAACTGTCCCTAATTCAACCATAAAAGATCAGATCAGGTCAATGCTCTCTCACTTCTCTACGTACCTTAAACTAGAACTCCAAGCAACGTTTGTCTTTAACATTTGTAGTGGGGCTACCCCCGCACTGCAAGAGTTAAGTGCTGATTTTGATCTTGGTGCAAAAATAACAAAGTTATAATCACCCAAACCTTAGAGTTTAGAGCTCTCCATCCAACATTGTCTCCTCCTCTGCTGCAGCATCCTCACGTCCGACATACAGTGTACAGGACATAACGACTTGAGGACCCTTAGACCACTGGAGCAGAGGGGGAGCGTGGCTACAAGGAGCGGTCTAAGAGCCAGCTGTCTCTGAGGATCAGAAGAGTATAACTTTTTTATTTTTGCACCTAGACAAAAACGAGCCCTTAACCCTTGCAGTGTGGGGTACCCCTATTGCAAGGCTTAAAGGAGAACTATGAGGTGAGTGCTTTTCACTCACCTCATAGTTCTAGCCGACCTGTGACAATGAGACTGTCACAGGTCGGCTCAGTAGATCGGGAGGTGAGCGAATATATACCGGCGTTCGCTCACCTCTCGATCCTGTCACGGCTTTCTGCCGTGACAGGGGAGGGGCTGGATTCCCCCCTCCCCGCTCCAATCCGCCAGCGCTGACAGGCGGAACGGACGGGAGAGGGTACAGCTGGCTCTGCCTCTAGATAGGCAGAGCCAGCTGTCACTCACACAGCTGGGCGGATCTCGACATCGATGTCGGGTTCCGCTCCGGCGTCTCAGTATACCGCGAGCTGTAGCATATACTGAGCCTAGGGTGACGGGAGGACACTAGTTTGTGTCCTCCCGTTACCCTAAGGAGAACTAGGGGGAAAAGCCCTAACCCCATAGTTCTCCTTTAAGAAAAAAAACTGCCCAGAGTTGTTCTTTATGGATAAGATGAACCGACTGCAGCAAACGTTGTAATGTACAATCACCTTTCCATATAGCAGCAGTATATCATCCAGGGTTTTCACAACGATGAAATTATTAATGATCTCAGCCCGGCAGACTCTGAAATCTGTTCCGTGATTATCATGAGATAACGGGATGGGGAAAGGAGATTCGTAGCATTCGTAGACCTTTCTCTTTCTCCTTGGGGCATGGAATGTTGCCTGCGACATTGTCTTCTTCCTGATGATGAGGAGAGAAGATCACAATGAGATCTGCGGATTAAATACAACGTTACATCAGAGCAATAATTCTACTAAACGCAGCGGTGACATCATGCAAACACTGATGATGAACAACCGGATATTACCAACTGTCACAGATCAGAGCTCATTTGCAGAGATCTGCCCTCCACTTTGTACATCAGTTCTATCATTTCTACTGTATATACGTATATATGGGGGTCTATTATTACTCCCACTGACACCAACGCGGGGGGTCTATTATTACTCACACCAACACCAGTGCTGGGGGTCTATTGTTACTCCCACTGACACCAGTGCTGGGGGTCTATTGTTACTCCCACTGACACTAGTGCTGGGGGTCTATTATTACTCCCACTGACACCAGTGCTGGGGGTCTATTATTAATCCCACTGACACCAGTGCTGGGGGTCTATTATTACTCTCACCAGTGCTGGGGGGGTCTATTATTACTCTCACCAGTGCTGGGGGTCTATTATTATCTCCCACCAGTGCTGGGGGATTCTATTATTACTGCCACTGACACCAGTGCTGGGGGGTCTATTATTACTTCCACTGACACCAGTGCTGGGGGATCTATTATTACTCCCACTGACACCAGTGCTGGGGGATCTATTATTACTCCCACTGACACCAGTGCTGAGGCACAACCTGAGCTCATCTGAAGCAGGAAGGAAGCCATCAATGCTGAACCAATCAGCTGCGGACGGTGCATTTCCCTCCCCAGAGCTGCACGTAAACAATGGGGCAGGATGCTGGTGGAGGGGCATTTCTTCCTCCTATTGGATCACTGACATAGGGACATTTTGTACTCCCTCCGACTCCCACTGACCACAGTGCACTCCCTAGTCATAGAGGGACAATGAGGTGTGACAAGGGACAGAGGTTCCAATGTACGGGTAACAGGGAACTCTGATGTGTGTGTATATAAAGCTGTGTGAGTGAGCTGTGCAGATTGTAAATGAGATTCACAGGTATTTATACAGCAGAGACGTGAGCGAGGTGTACATCACCCTACAAATACATGATGAGGTATATAGTGCCTCATGCCACTGTCCCTATCAGCGTCCGCAGGCTACCCAGCAGTCACGTTCTTTAGACTGAAGACTTGGATTGAGACACCGGCTCGTCTCCTAAATACACACAGAGCCCTGACATCCTCCTCCCATAACACAGAAGTATGAGGAGACTGCTCCCATTCTATCACTGCCATGCGGTCCCCTCCTGTCGGCACAAAACGGGTTAACATCCTTCGTCCACTCACCGAGCCACCCAGTCAGTCAGGAAGATAGAAAACACATGCATCCAAAGTACCCGCCCACTGCCTGATCATGTGACCGCCGTGCGTCTCCGAAGAGAAGCGCAGCTGTATATACTGTAGTAGGCCAGAAAAAGTTTAGTTCTAGTTCTGAATTGTTCTATTCTACAGTATATTGGGGAAAATTGATCGAATCTGGAGCCAATCGCATGCTGGTATTTATGGTCTCCCCACATTCTTGCACTATTATTATACATTTATATAGCTCTGACATATGCCACAGTGCTGTACAGAGAACACTAAGCCTGTCACATTAGTTTCTCTACAGAGGAGCTTGCACTCTAATGCAGAATGGCACCGGTTGTAGGGGGACTACAAATCCCAGCAATACAATATACAGCAATGCAGAACAGTATATGAATTGGACTCAGGATTTTGCAATGTACTAGACTCTGGACTTAGTAACACACTGGACTTGTAAACGTACTGGACTCTGGACTTAGTAATGCACTGGACTTGTAAACGCACTGGACTCTGCACTTAGTAACATTCTGGACTTAGTAACGCACTGGACTCTGGACTTAGTAACGCACTGGACTCAGGACTTAGTAACGCACTGGACACAGAACTTAGTAACACACTGGACTCAGGACTTAGTAACGCACTGCACTCAGGGTTTAGCAACGCATTGGACTCAGGACTTAGTAACGCACTGGACTCAGGACTTAGTAATGCACTGGACTCAGGACTTAGTAACGTACTGGACTCTGGACTTAGTAACGCACTGGACTCAGGACTTAGTAACGCACTGAACTCAGGACTTAGTAACGCACTGGACTCTGGACTTAGTAACACACTGATATCCTGCAGAGCCCACCTAAGGCCCCACACAGCCCACCTAAGAGTGACCCTGCAGAGCCCACCATCTTAATTGTGGTTGCCCCTGTCTGCATGACCTCTTGTGTCCAGGTTTCTGCTGACATGAAACCCGGACGCAGCATACAAAGCCCAGACTGTCCGAGTGAATCCTGGACAGGTGGCAACCCTAGTCACCTCAGATGTGGTGGCACCTCTAGGTATGTTCTATACCAGGGATGGGCAACTCCGGCCCTCCAGCTGTTGTGAAACTACTAGTCCCATGAGGCATTGCAAGACTGAAAGTTACAGCCATTACTCCCAGAGGCCAAGGCATGTTGGGATTTGTAGTTAAAACACAGCTGGAGGACCCCAGTTGCCCATCTCTGTTCTATATGATTTGTATGTCACTATAGCAATGCTATCAGACTAGCTTGTAGGACAATAAGATTTAACAGATTAAAGCTGGCCATACGCTAGTAGATTTCCAAAAGAAAGATCTTTCTTTACTAATGAAGGATCTTTCTTTTCCACCCAATAATACCATCAAATGTTGCTTTATTTTAACATTCGATTTTGGAATGAATCGAGTTTCCTGAATGAAAACCACATTCTCTGTTTGAATTTCATTCATTTGAGAAAAATTTTCCATCCTTCTCCTTCACCTTTTTTTGTCAATACGGTTGAAATCAATGATTCATTTGACCCCCATCAACTAATAGAAAGTCCAACGAAAGATCTTTTGTACAATAATTCTTTTTAAAGTCTACTGGTGTATGGGCACCTTATTGTTATGGTGACCAAAATAATGTATTTCATTATCACCAATGTCAACTAAATTCCATTACGCCAGCCATACAGAGACTGGATGAGTGAAGCTGTGCTGGTATCTGTGGCGGGCCTTAGGATGAACCTTCTAAAATATCCTGAAACTCTTTCATTTTGGTGCAGAGCCCACCTTCCCTGATGTCCTTCTTTGTGGTGTATCATTTAAAAAAAAATAACAAGCACACTTTAATGCCAGTTGTTGTGGAACTGCAAGTCCCATGAGTCATTGCAAGGCTGACGGTTACAGGCATGACTCCCAGAAGCAGAGGCATGTTGGGATTTGTAGTATAAGCACGGCTGGAGGGCTAGAGCTGCCCACCCCGGCTTTAATGTCATCCAGATACCAGGGGGGTAATTCTGTGCATTAAAAGACTGTGCACGGATTCAGAGCAGGAGACTAGAGCCAGGTGGATAACCAGACTCTTATGCAGGCATGCAGCCTGGGTGGTCAGAAAAGAGAGGGGGGAGCAGCCAATGTTTTGCAGGTCACATTCTTTTAACATTGGAAGGATAGCATGCAAGGGAGGGGGGCGTGGGGCAGCAAAGCCATCTACCTCTATTGCAAAGCACCTTTTCCATATGTTGATGGGGACAAGGGCCTCATCCCCAAATCCTGTCCTGTCAAAAGTGGTGTGGGAGTTTAAGGGGGGACTTAGGTTCTGGAAGCCCC